GTTGTTTAAAAAGTGGGAGATGAAAAAGGGAGAGCGAAGGGGGTGGTGGTGGAAGAATTAATATATATCCTAGCACCCCGGGACAACCAAATATGTTCTGTTGAAAAGTTGCCCGATCTTAAATTAAAGGGGTCAAAGAGTAACTGTTTCTACTTCCTGAATTTCCCCCATGATGATAAAAATATGTTGTTCCATCTCAAATCAAACACCAGGAAGCTCTGGCTTGTGTGTGATTATCCCTGTTGCAGCGGAAGGAGCTTCCGACAGCTTGCCAAAAGCCCCAGCCAACAAAACAGGATGACGTAAACTCAGTACTCTGGTACCTGTGGCAGCTCGCTTGCCTACACTGCATACCCTCTTGGTGAAGCCCTTCTGCTGTTAGACTACAGGTCACTCCCCTGTCCTAGGGGACAGCACTTACACATGCGAAATAGCTCACTCGATAAACCAAAAAATTAGTCCTCATCCCTTTTATAAAATAACTTCCCAGTGGTTTTTACCAGCCTTTTGTATTCTGTACTCAGAAAGGTATTCGAGAAGGGTGAGACAGGATTATTTCTTACAGTATTGAACACAAGAGAATTTGGTCTTTGTGGAAATAGAAAGGATTGTTCCTTTCTGCTGATGTTGGTGAAGACGTGACTTTACTTCTTCATTTATTATTCATTTGTTTTGAGGCAGGATCTTGCTTTGTTGCCTAAACTGGGTTGGGATTATTAGGCTGAACTGATCCTCCTGCCTCAGCCTTCCATGTCTTTGGGATTACAGCTATATACCACAATGCTTGGTTAAGATGTATGCTGTTATGATGTTTTAAATATCTTTGAATACACACACACACACACACACACACACACACACACACACACACACTCACTGCTCACACTCTCCTCATTGGACACTCCAAGTCTGCAGTTGTTCTAGTTAGTTCCCTGGAAGTCCTAAGACCATGAGTGGTTCTCAAGCCTCCTAATGCTGTGACCCTTTAACACAGTTCCTCATTGTTGTAGTGACCTCCCCAACCATAAAAATCATTTTATTGCTTCTTCATAACTGTAATTTTGCTACTGTTATGAACCATAATGTAAATATCTGGTATGCAGGATATCTGATATTTGACCCCTGTGAAAGGGTCATTTGAGCCCCCAAAGGGGTAGTGACCCCTAGCTTGAGAACCGAGGCTCGCTCTGAGGCCAAGTCTACAGTGGTATCTGCTTCAGAACTTTGAAGGGACTATTCACTTTCATGTCTCCTCCTCCTTTTCCTCCTCCTCCTCTTCAAAACAGGGTTTCTCTGTGTACCCTTGGCTGTCCTGGACTTGCTTTGTAGACCAGGCTGGCCTCAAACTCACAGAGATCCTCCTGCCTCTGCCTCCCTGAGTACTGGGATCACAGGCGTGCGCCACCTCACCCAGCCTACTTTCATGCTTCTTGAAACGCTACATGATCCGTCACCTACCAGGGCTCTTAATTAGCTTTCTTCTCTCCATTTACCAGTGCTAGCACATGACTTTACATCGGCTTTAGAAAAAGAGTTAAGACAATCATTTTCCAACCCACTGACACATGTAAAGTAGCTCGTTTGGCATGTTGCCCCATTTTCAACCACTTGAAAAATTGCATAGATCATTTCTCACCCATTTTTATAAAATGATTTTCTGGGATTTATTTAGGTGGGGACATGATCTCATAGTTGTAGCTCAAACCAGCCTGAAACTTAGTGTGTAGTTCAGACTGGCCTCCATGTACCAGCTTTCCTGCCCCTCAGCCTTTTGTGTGGTGGAATTGCATATGGGTTAGTCGTGTGTACATCTTCAGTCCTGTCCTGTTGTATCTACTGCAACTCTGTTTTTTAATTATTATTTAAATACTTAGGCTGACCACTGGGCAATCCCCTTCCTACTATCCTATTCTGACAAAGGCTGCAGTAGCTCCCTGCTGTTTTGTTTGTTTGTTTGTTTCTTCTAGGCCAGCGCAGGCATCACCTCCTGGCCTCTTGGTAGCTACCTCGTCCTTTGCTCTCTTTATTCATAATGGTCAGATTGAGTCCTCCCTCCCTTCCTTCTTTCCTTCCCTTCTCTCTCTTTTTCCTTCTCTTCTTCCCTTCATCTCTTCTTTCCTCTGACGGAACGTTTATACTCTCTTTCAACCAGTTTAAATAAAATTTAATAATTTAATAATGAAAAAAGAAACATAATCAATACCCAGCCAACCTAACATGTCCCTCGATCAGATCTTGGTTTTTAGTGTGGGACTTCTCCTGACTCTCCAACTTTGACAGGCAGCCATGATAGTTTTCCTGTCCAAAATGTGACACTGGACTAAATCCAGAATGACTGTGGTGATGAGACAGTGGTTATAGAGGTGGGTGTCAGGGTGCTCGCTGGGTTAACAGTGTTCTCACCAACATAGACGTAAGCAAAAATTGCCACACGTGTGTCAGTGTAGAACTTATTAGCTCATTCTGGAATGTTTACAGTCTTGTTCACATTTGGAAATGTGAACAGGAGTCCATGGGTTACTTTTTGATGCTTAGAAATGACTAAATGCCAGGATTCAAGAGTCGTTAAAGTACCTTCTGGACAGAAGCATCTCCTGGTGATAAGAATGGATTGTCTTCCCCGCTGCTCCAGTGGGCAGGCTGATACCCTGTGACTACAGACCATAGCCTTCTCCAGGACATAATCCTCAAATACAAAAGGTACCTCCTCTGAGGGTATATTTTCTAGATACTTTGTGGTTCGTATCCAGAGCAGCTCTGTGGGCCACCCCACAGCTCTACTCCAGCTAACGATTAGCTAAAACTAACTACAAACTGTCCCTGTTTATCTTAGAAGTATCTTTCCTCTCTTTTTCTCTTCCTTAGTCCGGATTTTATGAAAGCATTCCTAAATTTGGAAAGATGTGTTCTGAGAAAACTCTATTTTAAAGGATTTCAAGGCAGCCCTCTTTTTAGACAATGGCTGAAAGTCACCCTGCTTTCTATTCCTTTTGTGGCTCCATATTTTTCCCCTGTAGATTTTCACTGAGGAATTTAATTATAATTTGGTTAACAAATTCATTTCCTCCATGAAGGGCACTTTGAAAAGCACTGTTGTAAGCACATGAGTTTGGACACATTGCATTTCTCATAGCACATTTGCTGCAGAATAAATACAATAAGAAAAATGGCTATTTTTCACACAAGCTATTTTTTTTACATGTATGTGAGTTGAAAAATTATTATAACAACTTTTTTTTTAAAACCAGCGTAGGCTGGGCAAGTACTAGTAATGGAAACAAGAAAGCCAATTTATTATGTTTTCACTATGTGGTAGGTATGGCAGCATTTTAATAGTAAGTACAGCTATGTGTGGGCTTTGAACCTGCTGAGTCTGGTAAATAAAGAGTTTCAGTTTTTTAGCCCTATACCCTTGTGATATCTAGGACTTGGTGAGGGTAGGCTGCCCAGAGTGTCTTTCTGTATCTTATACTATGAAATAGATAATATAGATAATATAGCCTCTTCCAGAAGAAGAGACTAGTTCACGGTGCTCTGGGAGCTGGGAAGTGCAGTGAAGAGAAAGCTTGTAGAGCCAGGATTCACCAGTCCCTCTGAAGGAACATGTAGCCACAAGTCCTCATTCTTCTCCTCTTCTTCCTCCCTCCTTCCATCCTCCTTCCTCCCTCCTTTCTCCCTCCTTCCATTCCTCCCTCTCTATGCATGTACATGTGAGAGAGATATAGAAAGAGACCGAGAGAGACTGACTGACTGACTGGGAATGGAACCCAAGGCCTTGCACATGTTAGGCAAAGGCTTTTCTACTGAGCTCTAATCCCAGCTTTTTATTTTACTTTTTATTTTGAGACAGGCTCTTATTACGCTACTCAAGGTGGCCTTGAATACACTGTGTGGCCTAGGCAGGCCTCAGCCCCCTGAGGAACTGGAATTATAGACCTATGCCATTAGCCTGACTTTGTCTTTATTTGATTTTGTTTTTGCATGTGCAGCAGATAGCAAATTTGCCACCGAGTAGCTAGATCTGTCTTTTTCAAAACTGTCCGAGTATGTCTTATCAAACATGCCAAACAAATTATCAGTTTTCTTAGTACCTCTGCTGTGCCAATGTCATCATCTATGGAAATACCAGCTTCTAATGCCAGCTCAAGAAAATGGTGGGCTGCTGTTCCTTTTGGAGTTAAACACAATCCTTCAACGTTAGATTATTTATTGAGGGGGTCATTGTTGTTGGCTTTTTTTTTTTATTTGATTTGGCTTTGTTTTGCTTTGTAGGGTGATGAGGTAGATAACTGTTAAATAAGAGCCTCCAGTTTTCCTCTGCCCTTCTAGCATGAGCACTGAGTGGCATTAGGCATTCCCCAGTTCTTTGGGGATGTCAGTCAGGCTGATCAGAGAACCTTCTGGGCATGGCCTTCCATTGTGGACATCCCTGTTTTCTTTCTTAAGATGTTCTTTCTCTCCACTGTAAACATCAACTCCACAATGGACTGCTGTGAAACAATATTGAAGTTTTGATGATGGAAGAATGCAGGTGGTATTGACGTTGGAACAAGAACATTGTTTTACTAATGTAGGAAGCTGCTTGGCTTTGCAGAAATCTAGACAAGCTGATGATACCAAGACACAGGTAGAATGTAGCCCTTATAAACAGCCTGAGTTTCGCTTGTCACTTACCTGCATAGTATGTTCAGGAGAGAATGGGAGACAACTTCATTTCATGTACAATTATCAGCGTGATATATACATAGTGCCAAAGCAGAGTAATATCATGTCCTTCCCATTACAGTTTCCTTCCTAATCCTAATCTAGTCAAAATATTTCCCTTCACAGCATTGCTACCTTCCAAATAGCATGAATGCTCGATTGTATCTGTAGTAAGGCAATGTGTGCACATCGAATTCTGTGCCAAGAAAAGGAACTCACCCAGGATTCTGTTATGACAGTGATAATGTAAGACAATACACTTCACCTCACTTAAGCCTTCTGTTTTCTTTCCCCAGGGCTCAGCAGATTCCTATACAAGCAGGCCATCGGACTCCGATGTCTCTTTGGAAGAGGACCGGGAAGCGATTCGGCAAGAGAGAGAACAGCAAGCAGCTATCCAGCTTGAGAGAGCAAAGGTGACGTTCTTCCTGTTCTTTTATTGAAAACTGGCATGTTGCTTGACGTCTGTGCTCAGCATCCCTGCCTAGCGTCTGTCTTAGGGTTCCTGATAAAACACTGACCAAAAGCAGCGTGGAGAGGAAAGGGTTCATCAGTTTACAGCTGTCTGGTCACTCTCATCGCTGAAGGAAGTCAGAGCAGGAACTCAAGCAAGGCAGGAACCCGAAGGCAGGAACTGAAGTGGAAGCTATGGAGAAACTCTGCTTGTTGGCTTGCTCTCCTTGGCTTGCTTAGCTTTCTGATACCATCCAGGACCACCTGCCTAGGGGTGAGATTGCCCACAGTGGGCTGAGCACTTCCACATCAATCACTAATCAGGCCTGCCTGCCTGCTAATTTGGTAGGAGCGTGTTTGTAATTGGCATTCCCTCTTTTCAAATGACTCTGGCTTATGTCAAGTTGGTGTAAAATTAGCCAGCATGGTGACTCTCTGGAATATTCATTTTCCAGCCATCCTGATAAGGCTTCAGATTTCAAGGCTGTCTGTCATATGTGCCACTCACAGAAATTAGTGTTATCTGCAGGGGCCCATTTTCTGTGAACCTTTGACTTTTTCTGTTTGATTTAGTGGTGATTATTGGTAATTATTTGTGTGTGGGGGTGTGGAGGTCCCCAACCTCACCTCACCCAGTATTGGTAGAGAGCCTTCTGAGCTGCTAGCCTGAGCCCTCTGATCTTGGCCTTCCCCACCACTCCCCAGCCTTGGTTATACACCAAACAGCCACCACTGTGCTGCAGATCATTTCCCCGCTTCCTTTGTTCTTTGGTTCCTAGATTTCAGATTCCCACCTCAAGTTCAGTATGGAGTTCAGGGCATTATTTTGTTTGCTTGTTTGTTTGAGAAAGGGTCCCCTACATTGTCCATTCTAGCCTTGAACTTACGGGCTTAATAGCTGGACTACCAACGTGCACCATCAGACCTAGTTAAGAAATTTAAATTTGCACAATTCAAAAAGCATCAAAAAATGAGTGACAGAAGCCACTGCCAGCCAATACAGGCTTCAGACCGTCTTCTTTCAGAAGACACATAGGATGCAGCAAGAGACCAATTGCATGGTTGAGTTTTTAGGACCAGAAGAATTACTAGAGTTCTCCCAGCCCACCTATGTTTTTCTAGCTTAGTCTTTTAAAGCACCAACCCTTTAGGCAAATCAATTGTTTATGCACAGTAACAACATACAAGATAGGGTTCATGGCTAGCCTGTCCACTTGCTTCTATGGCCAACTGCAGCGGGTACCTTTCTGAATTTTAGACACAAGCCCAAGGAAAGTTAATTTCCTTCATTTTCTAGTTTATGATAAAATCTTTCAGAGATGAAAGCAAGAGAAGAGTGATACAGATAAGTGAGGTGTCGACTTCACTTCTCAGTGCTGTGTCTGTGCTCTCTGCACAGTGCCTGGGAGGGAGCAAAAGAATCTCTCCTTTGGGTCCTACCTCAACTGTTGTGATTCCCAATGCAAATAAATAAGCCTTCAGCAAAGCCGCCCAGAAGCCCAGAGACCTTGTTGCAAGTTCTTGTTTTGAAAATGTCCTTCACCACCTGTTTCACTACCTCTGTCACTTAAATGGTGGTGGTGGGACCGTAGCCTAGGCTTGTGGCTGGCTCCGCCCCCACAGGCTGCACCTGCTCAGGAGCACTTTTCCAGCAGGAGTTTATGTACAAGTTTAAACCCAACTGTTAGAAGCTAGGAAGAAGATAACGGATGAAGAGCCTGCTTGTTCGTTAGGTTTAACCCACACTGGCCCCTTTTCCCTGGCATGACAAGATGTTTATGTACAAAAGATCTCATGTTTCTAGATCTGAGGCTATTCTTAAAATCCTTGTCTTCCAGCCCCCATCAAGTTTTTAACATCCAGTATACATTTCCTAGCATATGTCTTTCTTGTGTGTGTAGATCTGTTCGTGTGTGTGTGTGTATGTGTGTGTGTGTGTGTGTGTGTGTATACCCATGAGTGTGCATATGCATGTTTGTGTGTGTGGGTGTGGAGGTCAGAGGTTAATGTGTTTTTCTAATCACCCTCCACCTTAATATTTGAGACAGGTTTCTCACTGAACCTGGAGTTGACCATTTGGCTAGACTGGCTAGCCAGCAAGTCCCAGGGATCTTGCTCTCTGTCTCTGTCTCCCCAGCACTGGGATTAAAGATGTATACCCCTCTACCCCGCTTTTGTCACAGATGCTGGGGATCTGAGTTGACTTCCTCGTCCTTGTGCAGCACCCCAGCATACAAGCCCTGTATCCCACAGTCGGGACATTATCTGTTCCCGGTTATGAAGTGCATCGGTTGTGAGAGTGGAGAACAAAGCTGAATGCAGCCCCACCCCTGGGCATCCCTCCCCAGCCCTTCAGGGGCCAGTTCTTTATTGAGGATGTTGGAAAGTACCGCAGAAAGAAAATGGCTGGGCTGAGAGGAATGAGTCATTCCTGGAGCCATCGCTGCAGATTTCTGGATGTGGCCTGCAACTATAAAACCCAGAGGAGATCCCTCTTTGGAAAGTGATTTCCTTGTTGCCTGGAACCATCATTCATCCCATGACATGTTTCAATATGAAAAATGCTTTTCTTCCCTCCTCTCTCCCTCCCTCCTCATTCTGCGCTTCTGTCTCCAGTCCAAACCTGTAGCCTTTGCTGTGAAAACGAATGTGAGCTACTGTGGTGCCCTGGATGAGGATGTGCCCGTTCCCAGCACAGCCATCTCCTTTGACGCCAAGGACTTTCTTCACATTAAAGAGGTAAATGTAGGACATACTGCATCCCTTTACCCGCCAAAAGGCTAGAGCTGGGAAGCAGCCTCAGCCAAACCCACCGGAAAGGAAACCCAAGGAGGTGCCAGAGTGGAGCCTCAGTTAATGCTCTGAGCCACGTCCTTTCATCTCACGGAGATTTAGAGTGAGATGATATGCTGAGATCATGGCCTGCATTCCCACATGCTTCCAACACTGGAGGACAGTTAGCATTTGAAATGAGAGAATGGATTTTGGATTTTTCACTATTCTCTCTCTCCTCCTTCTCCCTCTCCCTCTCCCTCCCTCTCTCTCTCTCTCTCTCTCTCTGTGTGTGTGTGTGTGTGTGTGTGTGTGTGTATTGGGAACCAAACCCCCTCTGTAGTGGGGACTACAGAGCCATGGATCTATGGCTATAACTTAGAGAAGCATGAGTTTGGTAGTGTATCCAGGAGGGACTTGTACAGAGGGAGAGTATCATTATAGACACTGATGAACCATGGTCCTGAAGTTGTTCAAGCTGAGAAAGGGGCAGAGGACTCTGGGAAACAGACATCTTGAGCTTTGAGCAATGTAAGGAGGACTTGGGGCTTCACAAATAGAAAGGCAGACTAATAAAATAATATACCAAAAGCTTGAGTTTGAGTGTAGCCTAGGTACAGTGCAATTCCACTTTGTGTCAGGCATTGAACTGAGATTTGGGGGATGAGAGATAAGGATCACTGATGCTATGGGCAAGGCACTCTGAGTCTGGGATGGGGCAGGGTGAAATAGTATTCATGATTTCTGTGTGGGATAACAAATTCTACTGTAAAAGAAAAACTGGACTGATGTGCCAGAGAGCAAAAATAAAGCAGAGAAGAGGCCATGTCAGTTATTCAAGAGACATAGCTTTTCTTTTGGCTGAGTTGAATTTAGGGTCACATGTTGACCAGGCAAACACTATTGCTGAGCTGTTATCCCCAGCCCCAAGAGCCAGATTTTAAAAAGAATATCCTGAGCCAGGGCAAGAAGACTGGTCTTTATCACCAGACAGTAGGCTGGAATAAAGCAGAGATGTGACCGGCCTCGTAAGTGGGAATGGGAACTGTGATGGGGAAGGAAGCATCATATAGGGCTGCAGAGACTGAGCATTGGCTGGGCATCTTAGAGGGGGGCAGAAGGAGCAGATAGAAGGAATTTGGGGGGTCTCTCTCCACTGCATGTAGTAGAGAAAGCCATGGGTAGAGAAACAAAGGATGGTGGTCAGCTTTTTTGAGGTTGCTTGGAATTATAGGAAGTGCCATCAGCCTTAGATTCAGCTTTTGAAACAGAGAAGGCAGAAAGGGGGCCAGATGTTGTAACAATGTATTTATGTTTGAGCACATTACACTTGATCTTAGCCAAAAGGCCGAGAAGCATGTTTGAGCACATTGTGTCTGGGGCTATGGCTGCCAGAGCAGCCTCATCTGAGTGGTTGAATCTATCTCATTATTTTCACCAAACGCAACTAAGCCATAAATATGGGTTGCCAGCCCTCATCATTTCCAAGGTGAAGTGAACTCTAAGAGCGAGGGAACTTCTCCCATGCATATGATACTGACATTCCAACCTCGAAGGTTTTTTTTTTCTTTCTGCATTATCCTAGTATCCTAGTTTTTAATCAATAGTTATTTTAGTTGGACATATTTATGTGAAATTTTGGTATGTATTACCTGTTATAAGTCACAATGAAATCAGAATAGTTAACACTTCCAGCTCTTTAAACTTAAGGTTGTCTGAGATAGAGTGTGGCATTTTGAAACATGTTTCATTGCAGCCTGTACCGGCCAAATCGGGGTAACTAACATTTGCATCTCCATATAGACACATTGTGTGTGGCACCTTCGAGCTGTTTTGACTGTACTTTGAAGTGTCTTGCTGGTAGCATTTGGGTCTGTGAGCTGTTGGATCAAGGGATTTTCCTTCAGTCTGGCAGCTCCTTTTTCTTTTGTTGTTATTGAGCTGGTAAATCGTATGTGGATCAGAGCCACTGTTTTCAAATCTTGCAGATCAGATAAAAAATAAATCTTAGAAACAGAACATGCTAATCACTTTAGGGACATCGAAATGGGGAAGACTGGATCAGTGCTGAGAGGCCTTTCCAGAAAGCTGGCTCAGCCTCTGGCACCCCGACAGGCATACTTCTGCAACAGGCTGATTCCTTCCCGTCCCACGGCCTCTCGAGCACCGTTCTAAGTGTTTTCTCGATAATGTAAAAGGCTTAAAGGTCAAGCAAATCCACAATAGTGCCTGTTCCAAAGCCAAAGAGAGAGAGCCTTAAGTTCGTACTCTGTGCAGTGCCTTGCTCCTCAGAGACCAGAGAGCCTTCACTCGCTTTGAGGCTTAGGATTCTTGAGCTGTTTCCTAGAACTACAGGAAACCATTCTGGGAAGCTGCATTAGCCACCTTAGGCAGCCCTTTGAGGTCACCAGGGTACCACTTAACAAATTAGTATCCTGGTGGGCTGACTTAATTTCAGGAAATAATTTAAGCCCTAGGAAACTCTGACTCATGGTCTGTGTTGTCCCTGCCATAGTAAAAAGTAAACTCCAGAGCTGTGCACCAAAGATTTCAAAAGGTTCCGCTTGCCTTTTCTTTATCACAAAGTAAGCAGGCCTATTGTTTCAGGTGTGCTGTCCTGAATTAAAGATAGGAGACAGACCCGGATTGTTCAAGGTTCTCCACCACACCAACGCATGCTCCTTCCAGTTCAGTCTCATGATTGGCAGAAAGCCCGGCTTGTGCCGCAGCTCTGAGCAGGAAGGCCTGGATCCCGCCCCGTCACTTTCATTTCAGTACGAGACAGTTACTTAGAATTATTCAAGTTACTCAGAATTTCATGCTGTGATGATTCAATGGCTCTCTCAGGCTCTTTCCCTCACAGCGTTAATATTGGAGCTATGCAACTTCACTTTCCTTTGAGCTAAGCAACTCATCCTAGCGTTGGTATATGTTGAAACACACACACACACATACACACACAAACAGTAAAAGGAAATGAATTTCCTATAATACTGATAAAGACCATAAAGACACTTTTGTATTCATTCCTGGAAGATTCAAACAATATAATTTCTACCTACTTTCCAGAAATTACTGATAGAAACATTCCCTTGAGACAGGTGGCTTACACTAACCTTCTGTCTGCCCTGGGCTCGGTAAATAAATAATTGTCCATATACTTTTTCTGGTACTTCAAGTAAGACCATGCGAACAGACTCTAACCCCACACCCACTGGAGCCTTTTGTGAACCTGTGTCCTAACTTTGACATCACTATTTCGGAAGAAACTTGGCATTCCTGTCCAAATTATATGTGCGAATATGCCATTCGTTCCGGCTTTGTAACGTTGGGCTTTTTCATCAAACGAAGAGCTGTGCCTTAATTTGAAATCCTGCATCAGAAGGAGAGAAGACAGTAAACAGCATCATGTAATTTTTCACCCAAAAGCTGTTAATGAATGACCGCCCATCCAGCATTTTCTACCTAAGGTGTGCCTAGCTTGTCCTTCTGTCATTCTGTTTACATTGATACAAATTATGTCTGATGGAGTCTTTGCCTTGAGTATTAAGTAAGTTCTTTCTTCTTGAAAGAACCAAATGAATCCAGAGGTTAAACCTGCTTTTGATAAAGGCAAAGTTCCTAACGGGCCTCCTGCCTTTGCCATAAAGCCGCTTACATCGAAACACAGCCATGCTCTTGAGGCTTTGTGACTATTTTCAAAGTAGGACAGCAGAGTTCATGAGTTACAGTAGAGACCATATTTATCATTTGGGCCTTCACAAATAGAGCCCCCAAAGCATCCTCCTTTAGCCTGTGAGCTGAGAACATTTCCTACAAAGTACAAAAGCATGACGTGGGCCGTCTGTATGTACTGTGTGCACGATGTAGCATAGCACGGCAGATGAGTGACATTTTATCCCTCTGCTTCTCTGGAATTAACCACTGAAAATGTGAAGATGACTGAATTACTATTGATAGCAGCTTTCCTCTCTGCATTCCAGAAATATAACAATGATTGGTGGATAGGAAGGCTGGTGAAAGAGGGCTGTGAGATTGGCTTCATCCCGAGTCCGCTGCGGTTGGAGAACATACGCATTCAACAAGAGCAGAAAAGAGGCCGTTTTCATGGCGGGTAACATCCCATCTTCTTCATGAGCTAGGCTTTTCTTCTCCCTCTCTCCCTCCTTCTCTTCCTCCTTCCTTGATTCTTTGTGTGTGTGTGTGGGGGGGGTTGGATAATATTGTTAAGTTTCTTATTAAAAATTGCCTGAAGCAGTTCATTCTTTTGACTCAACCTGTTTTCAGTTGGATTCTCCTTCATGTCAGAAATGTGTGCTCTTTTGTACTTTCATTGCCTCCCCCTAATGAAAGCCTGCTTTTAAAGCACAGGGGCACTTACCTCCACACAGGCTATTCTTGAGAAGGAAACAAAGGTTTCAGGTTTAACTATTTCCACTGTGTTCTGAACCCCATCACCTCAGAATTCCACATGAATTCCACAATGGAAACTGCTTCCTGGGGCCTTGGCAAACCCATCTCCAAACCCCGTTTTCTTCTGTGAGAGCCACACAGGGGCCTTGTCTCTCGGGACAGCTCAGGAAGCAGCTGACTTGACTGAGAGTTAAGGTTTTTGCTTGGCTCACTGAGAAAGACTGTCCAGGAGGCTTAGAATGTGAGGGCGTGTGGACAGTCCAGGGTATCCCTTCCTCTGCCTGGATTCTAGTGCCATCTTCTTCTGCTGATGACTAGGAAGCTGCAATGGACCAGCCTCTAGTGGTCAAAGGAACAGCACTCCGATCTTCAGAGTGCTAGTGGCAGGTCCCAGGAGTGCGAGCCGAGAAGGTCTAGCCACACAGGGCTGCCGCTCTCTGTGAATCCCTGATTTCATGTGTTAGAATTCTCTAAAAGCCTCCAAACAGAGCAAGTTCGGCTAATGTTGTCATTGTTTTGAGACAATCTTGCTCAAGGCTTGATTGTCCAGGCTGGTCTTCAGTGAGGTGAAGACCCACTTCTGCCCCAACCTCCCCTCCTCCCCCCAGTGCCAGAATGACAAGTGTACATCACCATGTCTGGCCTGAGCAGTTCTTTCCTCTGACTCAATCTCTCTTTTCAGTTAGGGTTTTTTGTTTGTTTGTTTTTTATTTTTGTTGTTGTTGTTACAAAAAGAATGTGTTATTTAAGGCTCCTTTTGCTTTTATCCTAATGAAAACCTTTCCAGAGAATGGAATATCATAGAAATACAGTTAGCCACTCTTCTAATGATTAATCTGTAAAAATGTTTTGTTATTAATCCTCTGGTTCCCTTCACTGTAGACGTTTCATCCTCCTTGCTTCTTAGCATGCCAGGAACCCTTGGCCCTTCCCAGGGGCCTTTGCATGTGCCTCCTCCTCCTGGGACCCCTCTTCCTCCTTTCCTGTTACCATATCACTCCAGCTCTCTCAGGCCCTTGTTGCACCATCCCAGTGACTCCTTCCTTCCGAACCGTATTTTAAGTTGTATCCCACTCTGGAGTCACCCTTCCCCGTATTTCCCATCTCTTTCCAGTTTAATTATTTCTGTTACACTTAACTGCTCTCAGAAATATTATGTCTTTACCTAATTTCTCTTGTGTAGCCTTGATTGTCTCCTACTAGAATGTGACATTTTTTCCCACCATTGTTATTAATACATGCATATATACATCTTAATACAAATATATATATAGTTTACTTTGAGGCAAGAGAAACAGTAAAGCCCAGGGCTCATTCACAGAGGCTCGTTTGTCACACTCCTCTCTGTAAGGTATAGATGGAGAAGGCTAATACTCAAAGTTGTGTGCAGTGTGTCCCACTAGTCTGCCAGTAAGTGGCAGAACTGTTCATTGCTGGAATATAAGCATAACTGAATTACTGTTGATAGCACCATTACTGTTGACAGCAGAACGGTTCAGGGAACGCACGCGCGCATGCGCGCGCGCGCGTGTGCGCACACACACACACACACACACACACACACACACACACACACACACACCTGGCCTCTGACCAGCGCTTTGGTGAGTAGCCTCAGGTAGACAAACACACAGCTCCAAAGAGCATCCTTACCAGGGCTCTTTCTGCTCAGTTTGTGTACAAATAATTGGGAAAGAGAATTTGCAAAGTATTTCAGGGTCTCAAGTAGTTTCCCACTTTCTCCAAGAAATGAGGTCAGAGAAAGCATTTGAGAAGGTTCTTGAAGTTCTTCTAACAGGATTTGGTAAGCTGTGAATTATTTAGTAGAAGACCAAAGAACGCCTTGGATTCTCAGTTTCTGTTTTCAAGGGATCTGGGGAGTGAGTCTTAAGTTCCTTTCCATGTTCTAGGAAATCAAGTGGAAACTCTTCCTCAAGTCTGGGAGAAATGGTGTCAGGAACATTTCGAGCAACTCCCACAACAACAGGTGAGGGGTCTTGCTGCTAAACATTAGAACACATCTGCAAACACTTTTACTGGCTTGGGATTAAAGGCTTGATTTAAGATTTAAAGCTTCTTTTATTTAAGATTTCCTTGCTCCTTTGAAAGTAATATATTTGAAGAATACTATTGATATAAAAATCCAGGTTGTCAGTATAATTTTGAAAAATCCCATTTACCCTCTACAGACTCGATACTACTGTCCGCATATAAACCAACCCCATGTTTGTTATTTTGTCCAAGAACTCAAGAAACTTTAAGATTGTGAGGCCAGTAGAGATAATAAAAACTCATGGGCTCTCACAGCAATGTTCAGCGCTTACAAGAAGTTTTACCATGTGCCAGGACTAGGCTGTACATCCTGGGAGGGTTATAGTCTCACTGCCACCAAGATTACCTTGTTTTTATATTTGGACATCAGACTATTCCAAGTAAGCCCTAGAATCAATGCAACGAAGAGACAGGGTATCTCAATAAAGACTCTGTGTGTCTTTGGAGATTATGAAGATATTCACCTAGAAAGTTTTCGTCCATCACATTCTCTGACTCCTGTAAGCAAATTTCATTCTGGCCAGGAAGTGAAGCTATATTAGAACATCCCCCAGGACCGACTCAGATGGCAGGCTGGCTGTCAATGCTGGGTGGGTTCTTGGTCCTCGGCTGTGAGGATTCATTCTGACCTCCAGGGCTGGGAACCAACCTGTCCCTCTAGGTGGTTCCGTGGAGATAGGATCTGCTGGTTGGAAGGCAGCAAAGCCACCTTCGTCCGTTGTGGAGTTAGGTTCTGCTTTCTGTGTGTTTGCTGGGCACTGGGACTCTCCACCAGCCTCTCTTTTCTTACCACCTGGAGGGGGTGGGGGAAACTGGCTGTCCAAGTGCTGAGAGACACACAGGAGAAACCAATGTAGCCATATTCAGGAAGAACACCTGAAGGTCTGCAGTATTACCTCCCGGTTCACCACAGTAAAAAATAGGAAACAGTAACAACAGCAACAAAAACAGGAATGTTTGAGGTGACAGTAGTTTTGTTTACATCTTATTGTTGATTTTTATTACATTTCCTTTAGCTAGCTTGCCCACATCCAATGTGGGCCCACCATGGGTAACAACACGGTTAACTTCCAGTGTTGTATGGATGCCTGAACCCACCCTTTGATGGGAAATCGGGCTGTAAAGTCATTGGTATGCAGAGGAAGTTGTTCGTATTTCGTGTTCTCACAAGTAGCATGTCCAGAATGAAGTGGCAGAGCCGAGTGGATGCCAGGCCGGCACCAGGGACAGTGACAGGGTACCTTCTCCCATCTTTTAAACTCATGTGCTATCCTTTCCAGAGATTACGTATTTTGATATGGCTCTCGTTGTTGTCTTTTAGCAAAACAGAAGCAGAAAGTGGTAAGTCGTGTTTCCTTTTTCAACTCCCGCTAAGGTTCCTATCCGCACATGCCTGTGACGCTCCATTTCCATGTCCCCCATAGCTGTAACACGAGGCATGGGCCTCCTCGATGGGGACCCTTGGTAGTCACTGCTCAGCCTGAGAAGTCTAGATGTTGTGCTGGCAAGGAGAGAGGCCCAGCCTCGCCTTCTCGCTCACGTCGGCCCATCTCTTTCAGACGGAGCACATCCCTCCTTACGATGTTGTGCCATCAATGCGTCCTGTGGTGTTAGTGGGGCCGTCACTGAAAGGTTATGAGGTACAGACATCGCCTGTTTACTCTCCTTCTCTTGACCAAGAACCCTGGGGACTCTTCTTTGCACGATGGCCCCTCTAGGGTCCGTTTACAAATAGGAACTGGTGGAAGGCAGCTCCTAGTATGTGAAGGCAGTGTTGGGGGGGGGGGACCAGGAAAAACAGGATTTAACTCCACAGGTCAATTAAACATTGTTATGTTATAAAGGAGGGTAAAGACTGTGGTCCACGACATTTCAGATTTTGCCATTCTGGCTTTGTGCTTAAGTCAATAAAACAAGTGGGCTGTGATATCTTAGTCTGAAGCTGGGCAACCTTCAGGCCACCCACCCCTACCCCTAGGATGATGTCTAATGGGTAGGAGGTATTTAGTACAAAGCCATTGAATGAGGTTGATCTAAGATTCTTCTCTCTGTTTCTCTGAGTTGGAAATGTCAGGTGATGAGCAGAAAAATTATGAACAAAAAAACTAAGTCCCAGACAGGGTGAATTCCCAAGATGTACAGAGCCGGCAGGGCTGGGCAGGGCAGGGCAGCTGAGCCCAGGGCCAGCTCTAGGACTACCCACTGCTCACCACTAGAGGCAAGCATAACTCGGCCATGTGAAGTCAGCCGGCACCCTTGTGCTTGGAAAGCTTATGCTTCCTTGAGGCAGATCCACATCCTAAAGGAATGGGAAGGAGGGTTTGCCTGAGGGGTCCTGGTGAGAACTGTGGGTTCACTCCTCAGCACGCTGGAGAAGAACCAAGGGCCTCTGAGAACCACAGTAGCTGCCCCCTGGAGATGCCCGGATATGATGGGGTCTCTTCTCGGTCACTGCGCCCTTCGCTTCCACCTCTCTCACTTTTGACTTCTCTCTGTGTGTGTGTGTGTCTTTCTCTCCCTTCCTCTCTCCCTCTGTGTTTGCCTCATTCTCTTTTTCCTCACCTCTGCGAAGGTTACAGACATGATGCAGAAAGCCCTCTTTGATTTCCTGAAGCACAGGTTTGATGGGAGGTGAGACATATAGATGTTTTTGTATTTTGATTTCTCTTTAACTGAACAAGTGTGATTAAATTGATTTCTGGATCTGTTTCCAACGATTGCAGAAGTCTGGTAATTAAACTGAGCCCTGTGTTCCAGGAGACCGTACACTGAAACAGCTAGGAAAATGTGAAGTATAACATGAGATCCCCCAAAACAAAAGAGCCTCGAAAAGGATATTAATCCATGTGTTGGCTGTAATGTATGTTTGTCTTTATTTTCTCACTTACTAGTGAGTTCGGACCAAACTGATTTCATGAAGAAATTGTTTAAAAATGTTAATTTCTGATGAATATGATGGCTCACTAGTTATGCAGGGTAATTTCTGGGAACTGTGCATGTGTGTAAATGCATGTATCCAGGTGTGTGTTATTTGAAGGTCTAAAGATATATAAAATGCTTTGCAAGAATGAAATGCTGAAAACAATCTCTAATAAATAAGCAAATTTCCTTAAAAGAGGGGAGCAATCATCACTTCATCAGAGCCTTCAGAGTGACCGTGAAGGAAGCTGCCCTGATTCAGATGTTAGTTTTAGGCGTTTGTTTTATTGTTATTTCTATAGGGCTGTTTTGTTTGTATCTCGCCACAAGCCATCATCAATATGGCCGAGCCCTCAAATAATTCTATGTTTCAGTGTTGTGGGAAATGTCTAGAGCTCTTAGGTTTTCTAGAGAAGTGACCACAATCTGTACTGACTCAATAGTGAGACCATGTGGAACGTGTTCCATGGAGAAACAACCACCTGAAAAAGAAAACGGAAGATTTGTCAGACGTGAACTTACATAGTACACATTGACAAACCCGGAAACACAGCCAGATTATCATTTCAAACTGAATAATTCATTTTTAAAATGTCTGAATACGTTTAATTAGATTTTGGATTTTCATTAATACAGCATTTTAAAGAAAGGCAAATATGATCATGGTTTAAGCACAAATTGTGTATATATAAAACTTAGGTAAAATATATGTCATTTCACATAAATATATATATATGTGTGTGTGTATGTATGTATTTATAAATTTTCCAAAAAAAAAGTCTTGTATGTAGCCATATGAAAATAATCATTGTTTTCTAAGACTAGATACAATAAAAGGCAGCTGAGGCACTGGAGGGCGGGGCAGTGGTAAGAGCGCTTGCCGTACAAACATGAGTGCCTGGGTTCAAATACCCAGCACTCACACAGAAAGCCGCCTCGTCTCTCCTGGGCCTGTAACCTCACTGCCGTGCAGGGCTGACTGCTGCTGGATTTTCAAAAGACTGTTCAAATGAGCAAGATGGAGAGTGACAGGTCAGGATTCCCAGCGTCTTCCACCGTCGACAGCTGCATACAGCACACACATACATGCGCACACAGGAAACTCCCAGTAACTGAGAATTGTGTTCAAGAAATGGGAACGCTTGTCTGACAGTAGGTGGATTTCTAATTACATGATTGAATGTAGGCCAGGTCACCTGACTAATAGACCCCTAGATGTATAATGATTTGAACACTCTGGGAAGCTTAATTTTACTCACTAAATGATCAGAGACAGGGATTTCTGTTGGAGAAGACCAACAGAAGTGGTGAGGGAAATCACAGGCAGAACATTTGCATCACCTACCATCTGGGGCCCTTGGTGTTTGCCTGAGTTCTCCTATCAGTGAAAAGGGAAAGGGCCTTTAGGTCCTGGAAGTAGCACACATAAAGGCTCATTTCATTGGCTAGAACTTGGTTATGCTGCATTCTTAATTGCAAAGGAGTCTGGGAAATACAATTTAGCTATATACCTCAGATGAAGAGGGGAAACAAAGTTCTTTTTTTTGCCATAGTCGTCTGTAATCTAGTCAGCACAAAGCGTTGGGAAGAAAGGAAGGCATAGTTCTATTCTCTCTCTCAGAAGACAGGTGGACACTTGAACTGTCTCCGAGGAAAGAAGTGAAACACAATAAATGTTAGAATCTTGGCAGAGGAAGCATGAGTTCTTTAGTTCTAATCTCTCCCACAATAACCACAGTCAGATAGACAGGCCTCATCTGTCTGGAAGATTCTGGCTTCTCAGGAATTCATATCCTAAATTGTATTACAAAGAAACAGCAGAATCTGGACTCTAACTTAGCACTAATGGTCCAGGTCCTGTTTTGTAGTGCTCTGGGCCATAACTCTGACCCTCAAGTGCCTCTGTGCTTGTAAGACAGCTAACATGAGTGGCCAGAACTGTTGTTCTTGGTCGCATTTGCACAGTTCCTTCAGCTCTATATGGACTCATTGGTTTTAATCTGGGGTGCCTTCACTGAAGGCTGTCCTGAGCAGCGCCCCACCTTTAATCCCATCGCAGCTCTTGAGGGGAACAAAGCCCATCCCGTAACTCAGACCACACTTGTGTTAGGTTGTTTTGGTCCCAGGTAACATTCCTAAACAACAATGGTTAGCGGTTGAGAGGAGCATTGATGAGAGCAAGAAACTACTTCAGGATGTTTGGCAAAGGAAAAGATGAGTGGCTTCATTACTGTGTCAGGAAAGACTGATATCTTTAATCCTGAGGCCATGAAAAAAGTTCTTCATTTAGTTGCATCCCAGACTTGTCTTAAGTCAAGTAGAATTATCTGCCTCAGTCACCGCACCTACACTATTGAAGCTTCTTTCAAATTAAAGATGAGATTAAAATTTCAATGCCAAGTTTTCATGGGGTCTGATGATGACAGGAAGTCTTGCAGGGACGGGATCCAGAAACAGCTAGAGTGACAGCTGGAGACAAAGTCAGGCCTAGAGCATTCTGATGCATAGATGTGCTAAAGAGAAATGGGTAGTAAAGATAGGGATGAGAGCCAGGCACAGTGGCACACGCCTGTAATCCCAGCACTCGGAGAGGCAGAGGCAGGCAGATCTCTGTGAGTTCGAGGCCAGCCTGAACTACAAAGAGAGTCCAGGACAGCCAAGGCTATACAGAGAAACCCTGTCTTGAAAAAAAAGAAGAAGAAGAAAAGATAGGGGTGAAAAAGTGAACTTACTTTAGGTAATGAGAAGACGGTGCTGAAGACAAGCCCAATGAGCCACTGGAGAGGGACTGTGGACGATTGGATAAGAAAAAAGTTGGCTGGGAGCCTCTTACAGGTGCTCACACGTCTTCTGTGCGGGGAATATTGTATTTTGAGCTGTGACAATCTGCTGTGTTGTGTTTTTACCAATTAATAAAAGGAGGGAAAACAGCACATAGTCTTTGGTTGAGATCAGCCAAGAGAACAGTTATGCTGAAGGCTCTTACACAGTGAAACAGTGTAAACAACAGGGTCTGGTGGAAGCCTGTTCAGTGCTTCTCTGGCTGGGACTGTAGAATGGTGGCCGTCATAGTCAGGAGGATGCCCTGTGGTTTTCAGAAAGAGTAAATAATAATAATAATAATAATAATAATAATAATAATAATAATAATAATAAATAAAGTCCACGAGCTAAGAGGCTTTCTTAGTCAACACTGCTCTTCAGATCCAGATTTAAAATCTAGGCAATGCAGTAGACAAAACCCATCTGAATGACTGTAACAGAAGCAAAAGCTTTGCTGATTTTCCTTTTGACTCCTTAGAAATATGAGTCACTTTAGGCCTATTCCTCACTCTGTTTGAGTCTAACTGTAATACATGTAAGGAAAAACGAAAAAAAAAAAAAAACACTGCAGCATTAAGTAGCTCCTAAGAACCTATTGTGTATGCCAGTGTCCACATGCGAGATTGATTCCTGTGAGCAGACTCAGTGGCACTCAGCCTTCTGTGTAGCACAGTGTAGCACTGAGGGTCTCTATTTCATACCACAAACACCGCCCAGGAGTCATCTTTTCCAGTGAAGTTTGTGCAGCTGGCTGGACACACCAGCCACAGTTGGCTGACTTACGCCATGTTCCAAATCCCAAAAAGTTGTCATCTAAGGTTTTAATTCTTTTAATTTATTTTTATTATCATAAAATTCACTGTGCACTGCACTTGGTTTCATAAAGACAAGCCTTGAGCTCTTTGACCATTGGGTAGCTCTGTAGCATCATGTTGTATCCTAAAATCATAAACGAATACTGTGAAGCCTCTAAGAATAGGGTCCTAAAGAAAAGGAAGCTATTACTCAAGGAACATGTACACTAAAATGAATGAACAAACAAAACAAAATGACCCAAAGTGTTCAAGTGGAAAAGAATTGGAAAGAGAAGAATTTAAGCATACAACTTAGAGACGTGCGAAGACGTGGTAAAGAATTTATTAATGAAAGGCAACATGAGTTGATGACATCACAAAGCAGCTGCACCATGTCAGTGTGAAAACTGTACACTATTATAATTCACACATGGAACAATAAACCAGTATCTTCATCTCAGCAACTCCCACAATCTCTCTTCTAATGCTGGTCTCAAACACTAGAAATAACTGAACATTCTTGTGCCAACTGGAATTCTTAAATTAACAGATTTTGATTACATCATGTCTCACTGCATTCCCCAAAGTTTTCTGTATATACAAGTTTCACCAGCTCTGGGATGGGAGGGAGTTCATGGTAGCAGACTGCAAAGTTTTGAAAATAAGATGTGAGGAAACTATTCCCCTTGAGTCTTCGGATCTCCAACAACTGCTTTCCTTGAATACATTTATATGTACATACATACATACACACATACACACACACACTCATACACATATCACCATGACCAAGGCAACATTCATTTGTTTGTTCTTGTTGAGACAGAGTCCCATTACGTAGCCTTGGATAGCTTAGAACTTACTGTGTAGACCAGGCTAGTGTGGAACTCCCAGAGAACCACCTGACTCTGTCTCCCAAGTGCTGGGATTAAAGGTGTGTGCCATCACATCTAGCCCTCTAAGGCAACTTATAGAAGGAAGGGTTTATTTGGGTCTTACAGTTCCAGAGGGATAAGAGTCCATCCCAGTCATGGAGGGGAAGCATTGCAACAAGCAGGCCTGGGACTAGAGCTGGAAGCTGAGGGCTGAAGGCTC